AATAGTACTTATTTTGAAGTTGGAGATAATATTTTAAAAATTTGTGTTTGGACATAAATACAAATTAAAATTTCTCTTTGAATTTTCATTGAGCGACGATTTTTTATTTTTTATCTTTCCTCTACGAGTGATTCAAATCTACAATCTTCAGGTTGAAGGTGAGAGATGCTTATCATCTGGAAAAATGTTCTTGTTATTTTTTACAAGTGATTTAAAATAATAATTTGTGAAAATAACTTTTTGGAGTTTTTCGATTCAACTACAGATTAAAAAATTGGATTTTTTTTTTTTACTAATTTTATGAAATAAAAATTTGAGATAATGGAAATTATCTATTGCCAAGGCACTAAATTTATATTCTCAAAAATAGATAAAAACAAAAGAAGAGAATATTCTAAAGTCCATAATTATATGCCACAAAAACTTTTATGGGTTGGATGGGGTAGACCATGACCTCATTGGTTTTATATTGACCTCAAAAATAGTTTTTTTTTTAAAAATGATATAGGATATTAATATTAAATCAAATAATATATGATATAAATTATAATAATTAATTTAGAATTTGATTATGATAAATCAATATAGTTTGTTATAAATATTAAGTGCGAATAAATTTTATATGTGCTAAATATTTATTTATTTTTAATCAAAGCTTTTAAATTTATTTCTTTAAAGTGAAGCTACATTTTTCTATAAGAATTCAGATTAATCAGGTGTCAAAAATGAAAGTCAAACACCAGAATTATGCTGAACATTTATGGAGAAAGACATATATTATAAATAGTTTATTACATAATTTTTGTTTAATATCAAAATGTGAGTATATCCATGCTCTTTTAAAATGTGTCATCGATCAACTCAATGTTATAAATAAAAATAAAACTCAATAATTGATAGTTCTTTAAATTTATATGAAAGACAAAATTAAATACACAAAAATGAAAAATAGAAAAAGGTACATAAAGGTCAATTCAGCTACCACGTGCCTATTAAATTCATTGTTTTTTTTTTACTTAAATACAACTCATTATATAATTATTCAAATCTAATCGAATTTATGATTTAGAGTAAGTAAATACAGAATGAGTTGTTATGATCATATTAATTATTAATAGTGTAAAAATACTCTGTCATGTAAATATAATTATATTTACTTATCACACCTTAATAAAAAAAAGATTATACTCTTTTCTAATTTGTGTTTATCCTAATCCATTTGATCACGAATTTAGAGATTTATGCTTAAACAGATATTTCATATTTGAGTTTTTGATAGCTATTTATGACTTAGTAAATAAAGTTTTATCATACATAAAATATAAAAAACAGTTTGTAAAATATAAAATTAATCAACATGTACGTAAATTGATTCGAAACATTATAAAAAAAAAAGTGTTGAGTCAGCTGTAAATTATAAACGTGGCATGAAATAAAATAATGGTGACGTACCTAATATTTATCTCCTTTGACGAGTCATCTGCTTCTTCAAAGAATAAAAAATAAATAAATTGGCAGCTATTATCAGAAATTTAAATTAGTTAATTTAATTAGGCATCTTTGATTAAAAGTAGAAACATATTAATTATTTCACCCCAAATTCATATTGGTGGAAATTTAAATTACTTAATTCAATAAACTTTAAGTAATAATATCTTATTTTTTCTATTGTAAGGATCTTTTAACCCGCAACCGCTAATATTTGAACTTATAGTAGATAAATATCGATGAATTTTTAAATTCTTTAACTATTAAGTCAGTCTTTAATTTTGTGTTTAGAGGATTCAAGTATCTTATATATAGAGTGTAATATTTTATTGAGCGGGATCGTATAAACTTACAACTTCGCCTCCTCTTAAAATCACCCTGGATAACTCGCAAATCACACAATATCATATATTTTACCAACTCAATCATTTTTACGAGTTAAAAATTGTAAGAAATTGTTTGTTTTGGTTTTCTAATTGATAAGATTCCAATTAATTTGGTGAGTGTGGTCCCACCTTATGTTATTTAATTCTATCCTTTTCTTCTTTTTGTGGGTCATAATGGACTCTTTGGTATTTCCCCTCTTATGATTTTGACATCCATTAAAAATAATTACTTTAATAATACTCATTAATTAAGAATATTATCTCACTAAATATTTTTTATATTTTTTCAGCTTAATTTATTCAAGAAATATGAATATAAGTTTAAAATACTTGTTCGAATCATTTATGAATTAATAGACAGTGTTTTTTTAAAAAAATATATATTTTTTAAAAAACACTTATTTTAAATCGAATTTTAAAAGGCTAAAAAATCACTGATTATAGATCAAAGAGAGTAATTGCATTACACACAATGCATCATATGAAATAAGGTTACTTAGGTTATGTATATATAATTGATCAATTACAAATCTCAACAAATAAAGAAAACTAAAAAATACATGATATTTGACATGATTTGATCAATTAAGAGACTTATGTTTTTTTTATAATTATAAGAGAGAACCTTTAATAAAAGAAAAAATTATAAGAGAGGACCATTTTTTAAAATAGAAATATACACGTGGTGGAAGGAAGAACCTATACTAGGTAAGAAATTGGAATATCTATATTAACTGCGGTGGAATGATTGAAATTTCTCCATTTCTAATAAGAAATTTTAAATTCAAATTTTCGAAAAGAAAAAAAATGATATTGAAATCATCTATACCAAGAATAAACTTTATAATACGCGATTAAAATACAATCAAACTTTAATATAAATATCGAGCACGAAACGGAAAAAAAAAAAAGTAAAGATGGGATGATGAGAGAATAGTGGTGGTGAGTGAAGGAGAAGGGTTAAGATATAGTTGGTCTACACCCCTTTTAACTCATTCCACACTCATGTCCTTTTAGCCAAAGTGGTCCGGTTTTGTCCTCTTTTTTTAAAATTAAAAATGAAAAAAAAAAATATTCAGGGTTTGAGATTTGTATTAGAGTTTAATTAATTTAAATTTGTATTGAATAGAATATGAAATATCATTTTTTATTGAGAATTTTTCTATACTCAAGGTTCGAAATCAAAATCTTTAGTTAATTCGTTGCATCACATTTGATGGTCAATTTGATCTTTTCAATAAGATAATAGTAATAGAATTTAGGCTGAATTTAAGTTATTGTACTTCGTAACTATATTATAATAAAATTAAAATAAAAGATATAAGTACAATATTATAAATTATAAAAGAAATTAGTATCACAAAAAAATTTATCAAGGGAGATCTCTCAAATATGATTATTATTTTTTATTGTGGTTATCTCAATTTATATGTAATATTATTTGATTGAACATGAATTTTAAAAAAGGAAAAATAATTTTTTTTTTTGAGATTTTGATCTAAAATAAATTTTAAATATTTTTGTGAATTAAATCATCTAATATTAAATCACTTTTAAATATAAAAATAATTCCTTTCATTTTCTTTTAATAGTCCGTTAACGATTTAGCACTTTCGTTAAGAAATCATCTATCACCAGTTCACCACTATCAATATGTAGCTTTTGTAATAGAACAATTAATTATATTTTGATCAAAAATTGATATATTTAAATAAATAAATTAAGAATATTACGTAGCTATCACATATCAAAGATGTGAGCTTTCATAAAGGACTTTTAAGATGATAAATTTAAGATAAAAATGAGTTTAATCTTCTTCAATCCACTTAATTTGGCAAGTAGCTCACGGCGATTTATGAGATAACACGATTATATATTCTTAAAAGATAGATAAATACATAAAATAATATTTCTATATATGCGCCTAAACAATTAAAATGAGAGTGTCCCTTTTATTAGAATAAAGTTATTTTACTAAATTAGTCATATTAACTATATTTTAGAAATAACTAATGGTATTATGTTTTTTTCAAAATAAATAAATAAATTGGTATTCAATATTTATATTAGATTCTGACTCATTTGGATCAATGCTACATGAGAGAAAACGCTTCCTACCACGTTTCGTATGATGGAAAGGGAGATAATCCTGTGATAAATTTTTTATACCCCTTAATTTCTTGTTTGGTTACAAAGAGTGTTATAATTTATCCTAAGATTAATAATTATTAGTACTGAGATAAGATATTCCTTGTCTCTTGATGGAATAATAATCTCGAATTAGATTATTCTGAAATAAAATAATTAAAGTAACAAAATACTCACTCAAACCCTTTTTATATATCATTTACAATATATTTCTGTAAACAATCAATTCATTCTTAAAAAAATATTTTTTTTAGTACAATAAATCAGTTTACTAAAAGATAATATCATAATAACCAAGGGGCAAAATCGAGATTCGTTGATTAAAAGAGGACATACCCCATCTACTTTACTGTATCCTTACTTATGCTGTTAAAAGCCTAACTCATCCTAGCATAACATATATGGGGCTTTCAGTTCCTTTGATAAGAAATGTGAAACAAAAAAGAAAAAAAGAAAGATCCCCTGTTGGGAATGAAATAACGCTCCCTGCCCCCTTTTCACAAAAAAATTGAGAGATAAATATATTTATTGAATCCGTCGGGACTGACGGGGCTCGAATCCGCAACTTTCGCCTTGACAGGGCGATACTCTAACCGATTGAACTACAATCCTAGGAAAATCAGATGTACAGCCTAAAATCAATTTAGATTCCTGATAACGATCATTCATATTCGATATCATGATTATGTAATGACATGTTTGTCAATCATTTCTACATACGAGATGGAGGACAATTTTGATTTGAAATTATTCTTATTAAACCGCTTTCTCTTTGCCTTGTCGATATAAAACACCTTACAGAAAACATCTTTCATCAAGTAAAAATTCGTGATAACACTTTCGTAAAAAAAAAAAAGGATTTTTATTAAAAATAATTTTAAGACAAACTAATTGTGGGGGTGGGTGGGGGGGCTAAGGTGGGGGGAGTGGGGTAGGGGGGAGAGAAATAGTACAAAAGAGAGAGAAGTGAGAAGGGAGGTTTTTACCAAACCCAGAGGTTTTTCAATCCTGTCCACAATTTCACTTACCCAACAAAAAAAGTAAATAAAAAATGTTGTAACAAACAAGTACAAATTCTTCTTCTTCTTCTTTAGCATTTTTTTTCATGGCTTGAAAATTCATAATTCTCATACATAATACATAGATTTCTTCTCAGGTAATTTTTTCTATTTTTTTTTGGGGGTTTTTATGCTCTGTTTTTTGGATTTTTTTTTGAAATTTTGTTAGATGCAGTTTTTTGTGTTGTTTTCAACAAGGGTTTGATGGGTTTTTTATGGTGATGGAGATTGGTTGAGTTTTACGGTGAAAATTCAGGTTGATCACGGGGAGATCTGATCGGATTTACTGAATTTTGTTCGGTTTTCAGTTTGATTGTGTGGAATTTGATGTTTTTAAGCGAAAATTGTTGAAATTATTGAATTTGAGTGAGAATTGGAACTGGGTTTGATTTTATAGTTATTATCGGTGAATCGAAAATGAAGTAGAATGGATATTGCTGATTGTTAGTTTTGATTGAGGTGTAGTTTTGTTGGTTGGATTAAAAGTCAAAATTTTGAAACTGGGAAAGAAATTGTGTTTTCTTTCTGAATTGTTGCCTGATTGGAATTTGGGTTTGTAGAGATGGATCTCTTATATAAAATGGGAGGTTTTTCTTTAGTGTTCTGTTGAAAGTTTTGGTTTTTTTTTGTTGTTGCATTTTTGTAGTGCTGATTACTTCTTGAAGAACAGTGGTTGATCTTTTTTGAGTTGTATAGTAAGCATTTTAGCATATATATACTCGTGGCTAGTGGAAGGATCTCGAATTCTGCATATATTGATGTTCGTTTAGATGTATGGTTTCCTTGTATTTGTGGATCAGCTAAGTGCATTTGGAAAATACAACAATGTATCTGGTGTAATCCCACAAGCGGGGTTTGGGTAGGCGTAGGAGGTACGCAGACCTTACTCCTTCCTTTGTGGGGTAGAGAGATTGTGTTCGATAGACACTCGGCTTATGTGAAAAATATGTTTGCTTTATGTAATGATATTGCATTTTTTATGTGCCTTTGTATCTGTAGTCACTTGAAGTTCTTAACTTTTGAACATTGGAGTGATGTATATCCTGTCTTTGGTCAATGCTTTAATGGTATGATTGATAAAAAACTGTTTTTTTTTTGGTGTAGATCGGTGAAATTAGTGACATTGGTTTATTGCATTGGGTGATCACTTGTTGGCATGCTTCTGAAGATATGGTGTATAAGAAGAAGTTAGATTTTGGTTTCAATGGCTTTCAAGTTCCAGTTATACCTAAAGCTCCTAGATCAGTTAGAGTAAGGATGCTGAAATTGTTAAATTGTCTGATCTTTTACAAGTCTTGTATTTATATACTTTTCTAAATATCGTCTGCGATTCTGAATCATTTCAGAGGAGACGTTCCTGTAAAAAATTGGATGATGATCAAATTTGTGCATTTGAATTATTGGCGGCTGTTGCCGGGAAGCTTTTACTGGAGAGCGAAAGCTCCACTTCCAGTAATGCAGCAGAAGGGAAAAATGAAATTGCTGATGGCAGGGATGGTATTAAAAGTGAACAAGTGGAAGAAGGTAAAGCTGTGAAATCAGAGTGCCTCGACCAGGGGAGTTGTGTAGAAAGCGATTATATATCCGAAACTGCAGCCCAAGATCAGAATTTGAAACATTGTTTCGATAAACCTCATCATGCAGAAAATAATTATTTCTTGGAGCATACTTCTACTGTTATAGGCTCTGACGCTGACTTGAAGTTGGAAAACTGCAAGGAGGTCAATATACCTGATGGAAAATTCCACCCCAAAATTGAAGGTGGATCCTCTAGTCTTGAAGTTCCATGTGATGGTAAAATCAGGACAGGAATTCAAAAGCACTTAGATGATGACAGCAAGCAGATAGAGGACGTAACTGTGACTAACACTTGTAGTGTAAAGAATCCAATTGAAGAATGTGTTAATAACAGTGGTTTGTTTAACTCAGACGGTAGTGTACAGTTACCCTTGTACAGGGATTCGGTTCCTAGTGCTTCTTTTGTAAAGCACAGGAACAGTGTAAAGTTAGGTATTAGAGATGATGACGAAAATTCTTTTGACTGCTATAGATATAGCACCAAGTTAAGGGCCTTTAGGACGACATCACGACTTGGATACAGAAGAATAAGGAAGATGCTGAAATCTCGACACTGGAAAGCAGCTCCTAAGTTGAAGGAATATGAGCGATCTTACACAAGTAAGTTAGGATATACCTGACACCTCTGATAATTTGCCAGCTTAAGCTTTTCTTATACATGTTTCTATTGTCACTTCATGTCATTTTCTAACTACATGGATTTGGTGGTTTAGATGGCGGAGTGGAGTCCTTTTACCTCAGTAGGAAAAGTGTACGTGCACGCAAGAGATGCCAACTTGAAGTTCCTTCCAAGAGACGGAAATTGAGCAACCATGGCTTTGCTGTTGCATATTACCAGGAGGCCAGTAGTGAAAGCGTGACAAATTCACCTGACAAGGAAATCAAACGAGACATTAATACCTCCCATGCCATCCCACCGAGAGGTCAATACTTTACTATTGATCTTGAAATTGAAATTGAAGGTCCTGGTGGTTTATGTAGTCATACTAAGTAATATTCTGTATTGCTTTTTACAGGAACTACTGATCCAGCTCCAGTTAACAATCATCACAAGAAGGACCCTAATGGTAAGAGATTTTGGATTTCATTTGTTTTTTCAATTTTCCCTCTTTGATACCATGCTTTTTTATCTTCTATAAAACATCTAACTTGAGTCCAATTTATCCTTTCAGTAAAATTTAGCATCAAGTCCTTCAAGGTGCCGGAGCTTTATATTGAGGTTCCTGAAACTGCAACAGTTGGCTCGCTGAAGGTATTCAGGGTGTCCTCTTTTCCTCCTGCTCTGTTGTATACAATAATCCCCCACCTCCCTAGGTTGACTAAGGAACTTCAGTTGACGATTTATGCTTGTGCTGAATGTTGAAAATTATTGTTCTTGCTGCATCTGTCAGTCAATACAGTTATTCATTTAATCTTTCTTGTCATTTAATATCTCTCTGAAGTCGCTTAATTAAGAATTCTCTGATATGCAGAAAGCTTGCATTAAATTAAGGAATGATAATGTTGGCAGTTGTAACTAAATTGATTTGTGGTGATGTTAGAAAGTTTTATCTGTTGTAGAATTGGAAGTTCTCTAAGCTAAATGCTAATTTTCTTATGCAGAGAACGGTTATGGAGGCAGTTACCGCTATACTGGAAAGTGGATTACGGGTTGGGGTGGTTCTCCAGGGAAAGAAGGTCAGAGATGACAATAGAACACTGGAGCAGGCTGGCATTTCCCAGAACGGCAACCTCGATAATTTGGGTTTCACTTTGGAGCCTAGATTCACCCAAGTTTCTCCATCATCATCTCCTAATAAACTTCTGGCTTCATCAACATATGCTGCAGATCAGGAACTAACAAGGTATGATCGAAGAGTTTAGCACTCCTATGTTTTTGCATAGTGTTGCTCTGGAAAGAAATTCTAGTTGCAAATTTTTTTTGCCTACCATTTAGGAAATTGACTGGGTTTAAGACTAATTAGTTATATTTATGCTCAGGCGGCGACCTAGTCCTATATTGGAATTGGGGATTCACAACGCTTCAGCAGACCCTCTAGAGACTGAGATGTGCAAGTACAATGAGAATAACCATCCATCAGAGCTATCTCCTACAAATCCTATTGATTCATCAACTGATGTATCTATTCCAGATTCTAGAGCCTTGGTGATAGTTCCTTCAGTTACTGCAGAGGCACTTGCTATGGTTCCGCTGAGCCAAAAAAGTAAACGTTCTGAACTTTCACAACGTAGAATACGGAGACCATTCTCAGTTGCAGAAGTAGAAGCGCTAGTTGAAGCTGTGGAGCATCTTGGAACTGGAAGGTATGAGAACTTTAGATCCTCCTTGCAAGCAAAAACAGTTTAGAGTTTGTTGTCCACTAGAGAACTGCATTTCTAATAATTTCTGATAATGCAGGTGGCGTGATGTTAAAATGCGTGCTTTTGATAATGCTGATCACCGAACTTATGTTGACTTGAAGGTTAGACATCGTATTGGTGCCATTATTGTTTCTGAGGATTCTATTGTAGCAATTCCTTTTGCATGCATTATGCCAGTTCTTGAGAAAATTAGTTTTTTTACATCCTTGATGTTATTACATATTGTTCTTAGCAAATAATGGTCAAGGTTTCATTATCATTTGGACTTCGCATCCCACGTCTTAGATACTTGCTCTGTTTCAATTTTAAGGCACTAAATTCTTTTTAGTCTGTCCAAAAAGAATGTTACTTTTCTATATTTTGAAACGAGACATTTTGAAACTTAGGAACTTTAAAATTTCCGTTTTACCTTTTAGAAGATATGCTCTTAAAGCCATATGTATGTCATGACATGTTTAAGACCATAAAATACCGCTATATAAAATGAAATGGGAGGAGTATTTAGTAACACGAGAAAAGGTCTCTCGTCATATGACAAGATGCTTTCCATATTTTGACAATCCATAGTTTTATTATATTGTAAATTGTATTATAATGGCTTAATGAATCTAATGACAGCTCTGAATGATTGCCTAGAAAGCAAAAGGGGGAACATATGAGTTGTTCTAGATAAGCATAGATCTCACTAATTTTTAATCTTTATTTAGCAAATGCTAATGATTGTTCCCATCATCCATGTGATGTGTGGTGCTTTGTTTATATAGGATAAATGGAAGACATTAGTACATACAGCAAGCATTGCCCCGCAACAACGAAGAGGCGAGCCTGTTCCCCAGGAACTTCTGGACAGAGTCTTATCTGCCCATGCCTACTGGTCTCAACAACAGGGGAAACATCATGCTGAACCTCTCAAAACTCCAGATGCAAAAGCACAGAAAGTTGGCGCTTGAAGGAATTCGTCGAATTGTCAATGATGTAAAGAAACTATTATATTAGGTAACACGAAGAGCACGACGAGGAAACTGTAAAAAAGGATTCGTTCTGTTTCTCGTCAACTCGGTTAGACTCACTGATTTGTTGCCTTACAACAGTTGTGACTTTGTAAATTGCTCAGTAATAAAGCTGTGTAGCAGCACATGTCTCTCTAGGGTTTATTTTGTTTCTGTTGGTTCTTTCATTTGGTATTATTAGGGTTATGGAAAGAATCAAATGTATTAAATATGTACATTAGTAGTAGTTCCAATTGATTTTCTAGTGTAATTTCACTATTGTATGCAACTTCTGATATTTAGTTGAATCTCATTTCAAGTGTTCTGTTATTATGTACATATGTAAGATAATACTGCGTACAATAAAGTCGATGCGATTTCATTCTTCTAATATTCTTCAAGCTCCTCATATAATGAAAGTTTAGTGCGTCGGACTGTCTTTTATTCTTTATACATCCGATAATTCAAAATGGACTAGTTGAAAAATAACTTTAGATGAAATTGAGGTGAATGACTTCACTAACAATGACATTTTTGTACCAAAGCGTAGAGCGGTGTAGTTAAAAAATTTCACTAAGGAAGTTTAAAACATGAAGAAGTAAATGCACGAATAAATCAAGAAGATCCATAATTTTAACCTTGTATACCGTGATTTTTTTTTACCGAAAATGGGTTTGGAGAAACTTCTTACTCCTATCGGGCGCCCTTTCTCTAAGCCCTCTCAAGCTATATTGGCAGATACATGATTTTCATAAAAGATATTATCACTTATATTGTATTTACTCCAAAAAGAAAACTTATAACTATAATGTCATTTTTCAACGATGAACACTTTTCGCCCCTCTAGCTCCGCCCTTATTCCACCCCTCATGATTTTCACATATTGCTTTTTCTTCTTACAAGAAGAGGAAAAAATGATGAGAGGTAAAAAGAAAAAGCATATGAGAAACTAGAAAATCAATTAATTAATACAAAGTGAATAAATAAATAAGAAAGAGGATAATGAAAAGGATAGGGAATTCAATATCCACACATGATTTTGAGGAATATAATATAATAGTTGTCGGTAAAATATTATATATACATATATATTCATTTTTTCCCCTTAATTTAATTTAATATATCCAATGGGAAAGCCAAACAACACGTTACGCCATGTGAGATTTATGACTTACTCTAAAGATAGGCAACTCATTTTTGACTTTTTTTTTTTGGGTGGGTTAGGGTGTGGGTTGTGGTGGGGGGGGGGGGGGGCGAGTCGGGTCATTAGTTAGATAGTTAAGTGTTGTATTACTTCTATCTCTGTATTATAGTCGTATTATTAATAGTTGTCTGTTACTTTTTTGTACTTTGATTACTGTTATTAGAGGATGATTTGTTAGATTGTCCATAGTATTTTGTCATGACTTTTTTTATTTTTGTTATTTCTTTCTTTATATTGTTTTGGACTGTTTTTTCCTTGATCTCAGGATCTATCAGAAATAGGCATTCTACCTAGATAGGTTCAAGGTCTGCGTATGCTTAATCCTTTCTATAACCTCATTTTGGTCTGCATGCTTAATCCTTTGTATAACCTCTTAAAAAGTGAAAATTTGCTACTAGTGATGTTCAAACACACGAATATTTTAAGTTTGGGTGTCTCTTTCAATGCGTTTGAAACCATTGGGTTACATCATATTGTTGTGTCAAGGGTGTCCACTATTCGGAATATGTTATTTAATAATTTTATTTATCATTTTACTTGTATATACAATATAAATTTTCGACGAAGATTGTCTAATTGAACACCCTGACATGAGTGTAGCTACGCCGCTATATATATATATATATTCAATGTTTATTATTGCTCACTAGTTAGCTAGATGCACGTGGTATCATTAGTTTGGTCCCAAATTAATAGGATACCTTAATTTTAGTCTTTACAATTAATTACAATACATCCAAACAGACAGACTGGTTGTTACAACTAGCTTAGTAACTTTTACTTAATTAAGTTATTTATAGTATAAAGTAATTAGTTACAGAGAACAACAGCTCCATGCACATGCAAATGTTCACCCTTACTGACACGTGATAGGGGCGGATCTAGAGGGTCGGGGGAGTGTTCATCTGATCTTGTCGACAAAAAGTTTCACTGTATATATAAATTTTTGAATCTCCGAAATATGTAAGGTTGATTTAGTAGTTTAGGAGTTCAAATCTTAGGCTCATACATTTTTATTTTTCGAATTTTCTAAATGAAAAATCTAGATTCGCCATTGTGCGTGAAGTCATTTAATAGTTTGATTTTTTTTCATTTGATATTCATATGAGAGCCTGACTAATTCAAATTCGTATACTGACTCATTTTGAGAACGCCGCTTTCAAATTGTTTATATATCTAGAAAGAAAATTTGAAATCTCTGATTAATGACCGTAAAAAATAATCTATATTGATAGCTTGGAAAAGTGTCTGTCAGTGTTATTCATATTTCCTTTTAATTTTAAATCTCAGATCTGATTTTCCTTTTAAAACTTTTGTTCTACGACATATAGGTCTTAATTTAAACGGAAAAGGATCAAAATTGCCCCTGAATTATATGAAATAGATCATTTATACCCTTCGTTACATTTTGGGATAAAAAATGCCCCTGTTGTTATCCTAAGAGACCACAAATACCCTCAAGAGTTAACACCCCAAATTTTTGTTGACGTGGCAAGCCATGTGGGACTAATCCTTCCACCTAAGCGTTGCCAACTAGGATTCACTACAAAAGAACTAGACCTTTAGCGGCAACAACAGTCGCCACAAAAGCCCAGAAAATCGTCACTAAAAGTTTTTAACATTAAATTCTAATTTTGTGTTTTTTTCTTCATTGTTTTTAAAAAACCAAATATGATATCGATTAAGTAGGAGTTTGAAGACACTATATGTTTTATTTTTATGTCATATGTAAATGTATAAAATGTACAATGATGCATTATATATATATATATATAATAGGAGATTTGAATCGAGAAGTAATTTTGATTATTTTTCGTAGTAATATTGGATGTTTTTAATATGGATATTGCAAGTTATTTATTTTAGAAAATTAGATCGCTATCGAAAATTAATTATCATATTTTTTTGTTGAAAAAATAGGTTTTACTAGCGAATAGTTGTTGGAGCCTTAGTTGCCACTAAAAATCACTCATAACCTTTAGTGGCAATATTTTGGGATTTTGTGGCGACAAAGCCAAGTTCTTTTGTAGTGAATCTTAGTTGGCAATGCTTAGGTGGAGGGATTAGTCCCATGTGGCTTGCCACGTCACTAAAAAATTGGGGTGTTAACTCTTGAGGGTATTTGTGGTATCCTGGGATAATTGCGGGGGTATTTTTGATCCCAAAATATAATGGAGGGTACAAGTGGTCTATTTCGCATAGTTCAGGGGCAATTTTGACCCTTTTCCATAATTTAAATGACTCAAACAACAACTTATTAAGTGCATTTATTATTTTACAATTTAACTTATTTACGAGTCTGAATAAATTAAAATTATTTAAATTTTGAAAGAGTGTTAAAATTATTTAGAGTTATTTAGTTGAAGATTTGATCATCAATGATTTAGAGCTACAAAATTTATCTCCATCTTAGAAATAAGAATATGTTAATTGATGTATAATTTAAAATAGAATAGTCTCCAAAAACCCTATTTTAAATTATACTTCATGTCTCTATTAAGTGTAATATATTCTCTTAAAAAGAAATCTCGAAAATTTCATGAGTTAATGAAATATTCATAAATATCAGTGGAGATCAACTGAAGGTCCATATTATTCTAGTTCAAGAAATACGCCACTAACAGCTGTCGAATCACGAAGAAATCTTAAGAAAAAAGAATCAAGATATAAACATTTTTGTACCCACAAATCACAATGTTTATAAATAAAATTATAATTTTTTTTGGTGACTGCTTAATTTTTATCACTTTAAAATTTATGGAAAACAAATATATATTTTTAACAGAGATAAACATTTTTGTACCCACAAATCACAATGTTTATCAATAAAATTATGTTTACTTTAAAATTTATGACGAACAGATGTATATTTTTAACCTAATAACGATATATATTGCTTAACTCAATTATAAATCATTTATACAAATTAACTTCCATTTATTTTATTTTAATATTCAATATGACGTACGACATCTTGAATATCTCATAAATTCTTGGATATTCACAAAGAAATCATGAAAACATCAAAAAGTGATCTCGAATATCCCCTAAACTCTTGAGATATTTATAAAGAGATAAAAATATGCCAAACTATTCTTGATAATCAAATACTTCAAGAAGATCCGCAAATCCTTTTATGGATTTGAATTATGGGGAACTTTAGAAAGAAGAATGAAGAGATGAACAAAATTGTACCCGCACTACTTATTACCAAACCAACGACATATAACGGTTGAGATGTTTTTTTTCTTTTAATGTAATTTTTTGTTCAAAAGAATATCCTTTTTACCAAACCAAAACATAGATAACTAAATTATGTGGTCCATATATTCTGGTACAATACGTAAACGATATTTATATCTTTTAATTTGTATATGTATAAGTAGTCACTTAAATTTATATAAAATTGAATAAATAGATACACACATTCTACATGATGTCATCTCAGACAAATTGAACGACACAAAAAGTGCCAGGTAGGATGCAAATATTTATACTTATTAATTTTATACAAATTTAAATATATACGTATATACATTCAAAATTAAAAAACATATATAAATATCAATCGAGCTCAAATTGATCGACAGGTTTATGCTATTATCAAATGGACACAAATTCCTTTCTGAATTAAGTCACTTGTCTTGAAAATAACTAGATATAAATTATGCAAGCTCAACTAGGGTTACACGTGTCAATTTTTCTATATTATAAAGTACACATTTTAACCATTATTATTTAGAACGTATTTATGATCAATAGCCATATTGTAGTGACAAAATCTGCAATGAAAAAGTGTTTATAATTGTAGCCTTTTTGAGGAGTGATTCACAATAATGAATTCTTTTTTTATTATTATTTATTGTTTGATATCGACATTATTTTGAATTTGTGGTGTGTAAGTCCCTATTCCGAGGAAACGCTTTTTATAAAGATTTTTTTCATATTCAAGCTCGAATCCGAGATATTTGATTAAGAGATGAGAAACTTCATCAACTGCATCACATTCTTTGGTGGTCATAATCATGACTTTGAAGGTTGTTTGCTTTTTAAAAAAAAATTCTTGCTTGTCTCGTGGGATAATTATTAAGTCGATAGTCAATTGAAACCAACATTCTATCTTTTAAGGTACGAGTAAGATCTATGTATATAGTATATACTATCCTCTTCTAACTCTATTTATAATATTACGTTTGTTATTATTGTTGTTGCTTGTCTTGTGCGAATTCAAATTTAATTTAAGTTCATGTATTTTAAATTTATTAATTACAGTATCATATATTGAGATATTTTCCAATTATTAAATACGTAACATTAATAATAAGGCATGAAACTTTCTTACATGCTAAAATTCATATGGATTAATTTTTTTTATACTGATGGTGTATATTATAAGTTAAGTTTTGGTTATAAAGGCCCTCGATCACATGAAAATCTCGTCATCAAAATTTTAAGTTCACTAATTCTAAACTTATTATCCTTGATCACATGAAAATCTCGCCATCAAAATTTTAAGTTCACTAATTCTAAACTTATTATCCTTTTTACTTGCTGAATTCGAAATAAATTATTTATTTATAGTACATGCAAATAAAGCTAATAGATTGAATATATCGAATAAATAATTGATATTGTAGATCCGCCCCTGGCCTACCCCACCACAAATATCTCTTTATAAATCCACTCCTAATCTATACCTTTAAATTTTTGAACATATACAAAAAAAAAAAAAAAAAAAAAAAAAAAGGAAATGGTGAAGGCACCTTCTTGTGAAAAATTTGGGCTAAAAAAAGGAAAATGGACATATGAAGAAGATGAACTATTAGTGAAGTATATTCAAGTTAATGGAGAAGGTTCATGGAGGTCTCTTCCCAAAAATGCTGGTAATTAATTAAAAAAAAGACTTCGTATCCAGTAGGATTCAAATTTGAGACCCTTGATTAAGGAGGAATGTCACTCGTGTTTTTTAAGGAGTTTTTTTTTCATCTTTATCACATTTTTTATGCCAATACTATTAGCAGCTAGCTTAAGAGGACTGACTATCTTTCTCGCTATTTTATAATATTTTGGAAGTAAAAAAAAATATCTATTTTGAAAAAGATCATGTTATTGACTGATTTGTTTATTTCGAACCAGTTAGATATCTCTAATAAAGTATAAAATATAAAGAGTGTCTAGCTAGAAAGAAATTTATAGATTAATTTCTTTAAAATATTTTTTATATAATTACATTTTGTTTTGCTTGATCAACAATAGCTCATAAAGATGAGAGTTTGTTTATTTTTCTAGTGTGTTACATTAATTAATATATATTATAATTAATTACTAATTATAGTAATTAATGCAAGTATTTTTACATGATTAAATGAAGGTTTATCAAGATGTGGAAAGAGTTGCAGATTAAGATGGACAAATTATTTGAGACCAAATTTGAAGAGAGGCAAATTTACTGCAGAAGAAGATGAAATCATTGTCAAATTGCATAGCACCTTGGGAAATAGGTTGTTTTTTATTTCTATTTTCTTAAAAAAAATTGTCAAGGAAAAAAAAATTAGACAAACTTTTTAAGTGACGACGTTTGTTTGGATGTATTTTGCCTGCTATAACGAAATATTGCTATAAAAACATATAATATAACATGATATAAAAAAAATCCGATCAAAAAAACCTTAACCATATTTATTATAGAGAGGTCTGATTGTATATGTACAACATTTTATCTACCCACTTTTATTTTTGTGATATATATATATATTCCAATCTTTTCTTTTTGGTTCGAAAGAAAACTAGTGTATTAATTAACTAGTAAACTATTGATTGAAATATATATTCCAATATTGATGCATGATGTACATTAATTAGGGGATTTCATGTTTTTAAAGAATTGTTATTGACATTTTGAATTATATTATTCGAAATTAAGATGTACATTTTTAATATGTTTCAAAAAGATTGATATATATATGGTATTTGGTTAAACATTGTCAAACTTTTCGTGATCGCTTTCATATTATGTGTTACAGGTGGTCTTCGATAGCCCAACTTTTGTCTGGACGAACAGATAATGATATAAAGAACTATTGGAATTCCAACTTACGTAGGAGAATTTACACCTTTAGAAACCTCAAAAAGCTTATTAAAACCACTGCAAATGTACCGAAAATTGTGGTTGATGGCAGTTGTGGCGAATCCTCGATAAAACAAGGCACAACTATAGGGTCAGATGGGGGTTCAATTGAATCTTTTTTACCCGAAAAGAATATAGTTGATGATATAGGTTCCCCTCGAAAAAACAACTCCTCGTTATGTCATGATAGCCGGGGAGATAATACGTTGTCTGAAGGGAGATCAATTGAATCTCTTTTGCCGGAAGATAATATTGTTGTTGATAGAGGTTCCACTGGGAAAAATGACTCATCATGTCTTGGAAGCAAAGACGAAGCTATGTGGTCCGAAGGGAATTCAATTGAATCTCTTTTACCGAAAAATTATAATGTTGATATAGGTTCCCTTCGAAAATCCAACTCCTTATGTCCTAGAGACAAGGACGACGCTACGTGGTCGGGAGTGGGTTTAATTGAATCCCTTTTGTCGGAAGATATAGAAACCAACTTCTCATGTTCTAGAGGCATGAGCAATGCTACGTGGTTTGAAAAGAATTCAATTGAATCCCTTTTGGTGGAAAATTATGTCGTTGACATAGGTTCTAATCAAGAAACCAACTCCTCATGTCTTGAAGGCAAGGACGATGCTACGTGGTCTGAGGAAGGGGTTTCATTTGAATCTCTTTTGCTAGAAAATATAGAAACCAACTCCGCATGTCATAAATGGTCTGAAGAGAGTTCAATTGAATCTTTTTTGTTAGAAAGTTATATCGTTGATATAGTATGTAACCGAGAAACCAACTCCTCATATCTTGAAGACCCCGCTATGTGGTCTGAAGAAGGGAGTTCAATTGAATACCCGTTAACGGAAAATTATTCTGTTGATCAAGGTTCTAATCGAGAAACCAACTTCTCATGTCTAAGAGGCAAGGATGGAGCTATGTCGTCCGAAGAAGGGAGTTCAATTGAATCCTTGTTGACGAAAAAATATATTGATGATCTAGGTAAATCAATATATCTTATTTATATATGATCTCATCTATTTCATTTCATGTGAAGGTGCTCGAGTGAGTAATAATTCTAAGAAAAAATAAATAAAGATTTTTTAAAACTTTTAATCATAAACATGTCGTGATATTTATTTAATTATAAAATTAAGTCATTAAAAAGACCAAATGAAAATTCTAAAGTTAAAACTATTTCAAAAATATAAAAAAATATCCTTCGTTTAAAACAACTATAATTAAAGAAGAAAGAACATCACATAAAATAACATAGAGCTAATATAAATTGTTGAATTTCCTTTTAACACAAAGTCAAAACTTATGGTAGAATTTCAATTATGTTACTCTTTTAACATTTTATTTTCAAATTTTCTTGTTAGAATTTCTGACTCTATCACCGCCGGACGAAATCAAAGGACTAGCCATGCAGCAACATGAACATCATGCAAAATCAATGATACATGAGCCAAGAAGTGAAGAAGAAGAAGTAGAAGACAAGAACAACAAAGACATTCATGTTGTACCCAAATAACAAGTGTGTAATGGGGTATGGACCTTTGAGGAACAAGGGCCACATGAACAAAATGAAATTGTATTTCTACAACAACATGATGAATGTTTACATAAATTTGATAATAATTGGTCTGATATAAATTTTGATTATTTCTTTGAAGAAGAATATGGAGTTTAGGACCATTGAAGAGTGTACATCTTGGGAACATGTCATGTTACTTTGCTTATGGAATGATAAATAGAACTCTAGTACTCTCCATTTTAATTTGTTTGTTTAAATTTAATTTAATATGATGTTTAAAAAAGTATAGAACATTTTTGAATTTTGTTGTCAAATATGTAGAATGTATTAAAATATCTTTTCATTTTGTGGTCTTAAACATGTTATATGGAAAGTTGAAATTTCAAAATTACCAAAAAGAAGAGACATTCTTTTTAGGGTAACTTACATAAATCTCACTAGTTTAGGAGTTAATTACTTAGATACACACTAGTTTGTAATATTACGAATTTTATAGATTTTGGTGCGTCCATATACATCAAAATACATGTATCTCGGGATACATGAGGTTAAAATTAGGTGTAATTTGTTCTAAATACACTGTAAGTGGATTTACATGTATCTGGGATACATCGACAAATCTCGCTTGCCTCCCTCCTATTTCGCTCGCCACTCTCCTCTGTCGCACGTATATTTGGTATCTTAGATACATGTGAATCACACCAAATACATGTATGCTAATGTGTATTTTGTATGATTCACATATATTTGTGATGCATAGACAAATCTCGCTTGCTTTCCTCATGTTCTCAATCACCTCTCTCCTTATTTCAGTGTATCTTGTAGCAAAAAATATGTATTTAGGTGTATTTGACTTTAAAATATGGTATCAAATTATTAATTAGTGAGATAAATGTAATTATTTCAACTATAGAGAGAATTAGTAAAATATTGTAGGAATGGTTGTATAATTAGATAGTTTCTCCTTTTTTTTAAGTAGACTAAAAATTAAAATAGAACAAATAAATTGAAACGAAGAGAGTAATCAGGACTATTGTTTTATCAACCCATGGCCAAGTCACCATCCTTCAATTTCCAGACTATAATCAATTAACATAAGTCCAAATTCCATCATAACATAAATCTTTGAACACCAATCAATTGTAATTACAATAAACATGAATTACAAAACAACCTTACATTGAAAAGAATTATATACCTCATGTCTAAACAAAAAGTTCATCCAAGAAAATAAAAATGAAGGTTATGTTATTCAATTTCTTCCACATTGATAATTCTACGATAGATCAAGTCTTATCTGTCATAAATATCCCGTCACAAATTTATATTTTTAATGACGATGCACTATAGAAGAATATTTATTCTTGATCCAACGCAAGCTATCGCGTATAGAATTCTTGATTTTACCTTCAATAGTATATGATTTGTATGAAGCAACACGTTTTCTCCTCTTATCTTCTAATTTCTTGTATTGTTTTTTTGGTAATGTACATGAATTTGTATTAGATTTTGAAGATGATCTTGTAATCTTTTGTGGATCATCCATATGATCATAAATATCATGAGATTTGAATTCTTTCAATTGCATATTTGATTTGAGTATTTCAAATTTTGGTTCAAATTTTTGAAAAAAATAATAGATACAAGATATATGCATGTGGATTTTTATTCATTTTATTGCTCTCATTTCTCTTATACAATAATAATGGATGAAGGGTAGAGGGAGGGAGGAGAAAGTAAATAGTTGAAGTTTTATTGTAAAAAGAATATAATGAGGAATGTTTGAAGGAATGAAAAACAAACTTACTAGTGGTTGTTATACTTTGTTTGACTAAAACAAAATTCATAGTGAGTTATGAAAAGGATAAATAATGAGTGATTGAATTTTTTTTTGTTTCCGCCGTATATCTGATATTCGCTCTAGAGACTGATTAATATGAAATCATAATTATTCAAATTCAAAATCAGCTTCTAGTTATAGTCTGATTAATATGAAATTATAATGTTCAAATTCTAAATCAATTTTGAATTGTATGACCCTTTCACAAGAAATCAGTAGTAGAAATGTATATTAAAAAACTTCATTTTCATTGTATATTTGGTTGCTTTTGGTGAAGTGTATAAATATTCATTTTTGAGGTCGTTATTTAATTTATATTTGTAATTTTAATTATTATTTTTACAAATTTATTCAGATACAACTTCAGACATTTACGACAAAAGTTGTGTCGCATTTGAAGTTTTGACAAAATTTGGACATTTTTATCAAAAGTGTAGCTATATAAAGATCAAACATTAGAGTTTTTATTCGAAATTTGATATGACTTGTTAAGATTAACTTTATCAAACTTCGAATTAATTATAAAAAAAAATTAAACAAACTTCAGTCATATGTGGCTAAAGTACAGTAAGTGTTGTCATTTTTTGACAACTAAATTATTTAGTTCTGATTTTGACCTATGAATGAACTATATAACTATCATGTGAGTATGAAAGCACATGTTTGGTCTTTCTTCTTAAATGTTCAATTCATCTTCACATGTTTTGACATGATTTTTTCCATAATTGGACAGTCGTTAATTGTATATTGAAAATAATTTTTTTATTTCATACAAATAAAGATAAAATTTATATATATTCTATCATTTTTAGATCTCACTTGTAGGATTAATTGAGTTTATTATTACTATTATTATAGTTTGGTAGCTACTAGCTAAGTTTTTGCATGCTATTTTATTCTATGATAGTTATATAGTTCATTGAACTCCAAACAACAATAAATCTAACAAATTCATTTAATAATAATGATAATTGCCAGCGTTTTAATTAAAGTTTTTTTTTCAAACATAACTCATTTGATTTAAAATTCACTTTTAATTATTCGAAATTCAAGATTCACTTTTCCAAAACATTATACTTCAATTGCTATACAAAAACAATACTATTATACAATAGCTAAGAAAAAGAGTAGTTTATCTTAAGCTACGTAAATATTGAATACCAGAATAATATTTCAAACAAAAATAGATACAAGTTAAATCGGAGCGACTAAATAAGATGCCCCGTGAAATTTTTACGTTGCATTTAGAGTGGTCAAGTGAAATGAACCCACACAACCTAGCCCATAATCGGCCCAAGCCCACACTGTTGGGCCGTTGGGTCAAACTGGCTCTCTGATGGGCTCGGATCCATTCACCTCTTCTGCATCCCAGGAGGCAAATCAGCTCATAATTCATGAGTTACGCAGTTGATCGATCGATAAATATAATTATAATTTGCTAATTAAAGATATAAAAACAATAATATTTATTTATTAATTATTATTTTGATGGATGAATATTTTTTGTCAGAAAACAAATCATCATTTTTTTCATATTAATTTAAAAAAATTTAATAGTTTAGTTGATGACTGATTACCCGAACTTTCACCTTGTCGTGTGAATTTGATTTTCTACCTTGCAATTCCTTCCCCCATTTTTACCTTATTGGTGAGATGTATATATAATATGAAAATAAATTAATCAAGATAAATGAAATGATCAATATGAAAAGAAGTCATTATATTGCGACTTCTTGCTTTTCCAATTATTCTATATTGTTAATTTTTTTATAAATGACCAGCTCAATAATATATTTTTATTTATTTTCTGAGTGCGTGGCTAATAATTAAATAATTGTATTTAGATTTAGAATAATTAATAAATGTCCAACTATTTTACATGTTCAAATAAAATAAAGCTAAAATTAATGACTTAACCATGGTCATAAGAACTATACTTCAGGTGTAATTATCAATGACATTCTTTCATTAAAATAATCATAATTTACATATTATATAAAAAAAATTACGTCACACAATAAACTAGGGGTGTGCACTATTCGGATTAAACTGAATAACCAAACCAAATCAAACCGAATTTTTATTTGGATTGGTTTTTTGATTTTTTGGATTGGTTTTGGATTAATAAATTACTTTGTTTGGTTTCGGATTTTAAAAAATAAAAACTGAAAAACCGAAAAACCCCGAATTATATATATATAATGTTTAGGTTTAGAATTAAGTTGGAGTTAACCAATTTTGTCCCTTTTTGGTTATTGCCTTTCATGATGATTACGTTTATATTTTATGTTTGAACTACATCTATAATAGGTATACTTATAAGTATTGTGTTTTAAGTTTTACATATGATTTATATTAAAAAGTATATTTAAGGGATTAAATATTATTACTTTAGTTATGTTATTAATTATTGACATAATCGAATAACCAAATCAAAAAAAGCCAAACCGATTGGGTTACACTTTTACAAAACCAAAAACCGAAAAATCTAAATCAAATAGTGGAAAACCAAACCGAAAAACCAAATGCACACCCCTACGATAAACTAAGGCATATATTTCCTCGAAACAAAAGTAGTTTAAAAAGATTGTCAAATATAACGATTGTTTAGAATTATAGCAGATACATACGGATACACTAATTATTCGCATGGAAATAATTGAATAGAAATATTATATACATGCAGATATATTTATAGTGAGGGCAAATACAATATACGCGTAAATATACTTTTTATGTGTACTGAGTTAGTCATAGATACAATATATTTTGCTACATTTTGAAACTATAACATTACTCTATTTCGTACTTAAGTAAAATCTCTCACTATTTTTTCAAACACAAATAACATTATTTACGAAAGTTTCTCAAAATAATAATTATTTTTATTACTTATTTGAAGAGTCTACAAGTAGGCTTGTCTTCGTCAACATGCTTGACAAGGATATTTTGAGAACTTTCTATTATTTTTCTTCCTTAAACATTTGTATCTTCTTGCTTTAGAGGTGTACTTTTTCTCATGGGCTTACTTTACTATGTCAAATCCTCATTTTTCATTTGCTATTTAGTATTTTCTTTGTTTTAATTTATTTCTCTTATTCTTTTTGTGGTTACATATTTGAGAATTATGTTAAAATTATTATAATCACAATAATTAATAACTTAAAATATTTAAAAATAACATAGAAAAAAATTATCTCTTCAAATTCTATCGACATCACATAATTAAAAGAAAAGCAATAGCATATACTCTATTATTTTAAAATTTATGTAAAAAGTATTACTATAAATTACAATAATTAATAACTTAAAATATTTAAGACTATATATAAAAAAAATTGATTGACTCTTCAAATTTATGTGTTATATAAATTGGGACAAAAAAAATAACACATATTATTTAAAAATAACGTAAAAAATATTATAAGTCATATAATAAAAACTTCATATTGAGAAAAAACAAATTTGACAGACTCTTCAAGTTTCATCCATTATCATATAAATTGAAACAAAAAATGTAACATAAATATATCTGTACTAGCACATGCTGATGTATCTAGTAATTTTAGAAATGTACAAATTATATGTTCCTTCTACGCTTTCTTCTATGTGTAGTCAATCACACATAATGATTAGAAACTAGAAGCTTCCTCTATGTACGTATTTCTATTATTATTTTATTTGTTTTTTTCTTCTTTTCTTTCATTTGAACTTTTTGTTAATTTTGGGTCTTTTTAAAATTATTTGACAAAAATAATTTTATTTGTATATTAATGTAAAATTTCTTCTTTCTCTTGTGAAGTTGCTTCGACCAAATAAAACAAAAAGAACAAGTTTTTCCACAAATTTATCTTTATTTTTAAGAAGGTCTTTAATTTTTATTTTCAAATATAATAATTTTTAATAAAAATTTATAGATTAGAGTAGTCTTAACTTAGCAATTTTAAATACAAAACAGACAATATTAATCAAAGGAGTGTGCATATAGTTTGAATAAAATCAAAATCCAAACATTTTGACTTTTCATATCATGAGATTTTGGATTTAAAATTTTCAAATATTTTATTGGATTTTGATTTAGGAAATTCAGATTTTTAAAAATTCGAAATCCGAATTTTGTATACTTTCATGTAACCCTACTTCCTATCGTTTAGACGTTAGTTCATTATATCCAATTAATAAGTCAAATATACCTAATCACTACACACTAGCCAATTGTATATTCAATACTAAATACAAAGTTCATACCAACGTAGGCTGTGGTGCATTGGTTGAGTGCTTCATCTTTAATCAGAAGTTTCGGGTTCGAGCTCTGAGTATGGAGAAAATCTTGTTTCGAGTGCCACCCCTGAATGGATCCTGCAATGTGCGATCCGAATTTAATCAGGGCTCTAATATGGACTTCGGACACCGGGTGAAAACCAAAAAGAAAAATACAAAGTTCATTATATATTTGAATTTGTCAATTTTCAACCTATGGCGCGTTAGATGCAATCTCTTCTTAATCAGAATCTCGAAATTCAAGTTTTGTAACTAAAATATTTTATATTAGGAAGATTCTTCTTACATAATACAAATTCGAATTAATCAAAATAGTAAATTCTAGAAAAAGTACATTACCTTTTCTTAAAATGGATTAATAAAAAAATAATGTTATATAAACTAAGCAGAAATGGCAATAACATCGATCTCTCCACTAAGCAAATAATAATCATTTTCTTAATCATATTATACATCGTGGAAGCTACTTGTCTCATATAATTAATTTTATTAAACCCCACCATCCTATATAAATGAGAAAATGACAAATATGGTCCTTTGCGTTCAAGGGTAGATTTAAAATAATTCATAAAATAGGCGTAAGTTTGTTTTTTATTTAAAAATAAATAAAAAATAGCACTTTTAGTCTTACTAATTATTCTATAGAATTTTAACTATCAAATCTAATGGAAATTATAGAAAAATAGGAAATTAGTGAGAATTCATATTTAGCGGTACTTTTTTTTCTTCCTAAATTGAGGATAGAGAAAAAGGGAATATAAGTAGTCAACCAACTGAATTACTAAAATTTTCTTATTTGAAAATACAATTATTGTAGTTTCTACAAATTTTAATGATATGGTCTAATACAATTTTTTTAGGCGTCATTTCTGTTGATTTTTATAATCGATTTAATAGAATATGCAATTGTTTGTGTTTCATTCTTAAAGATTTGGTGAGATAAAACCTTCTTGATGTTTGGTTAAATCTTTTTTTTCTTTATCTATTTGTATTTATCAAATTTAACAAACATAAATCATCAAATATTTGACATAGTCTATATGTTACTCCCTCTATCTCAATATATATGATTTATTTTTCTTTTTAGTCAATTCAAAAAAGAAAACGACACATTTCTATAAAGTGACAGTTTAACTTTGAATTACCCATTTTATCCTTAACCATAAATTTCAAAAATCTTTATTTTTTTTCTTAAATTTCGTACGAAATCAAACTAACTTATATAAAATGGGATAGATGGAGTAATTTTTTATATTCTTAAAAGACAAATTTTGCTCAAATGTATATTTAGAAAACTACTTTGAACCTATCATTAAACATAAAGGACCATTTTTGTAATTTTGTCCCAAATAAATCCCTAGATCCATAAAGACACATAATTCCTCAACTAATTCAACCCTCCATCTTTTAGAAATCTTCAAAAAAAGTTTTTTTTTTTTCTTTTTTTTGTAAAAAAAGATGAGAAATATTTCATTTAGTGATGAAGAACAAAGTGATATATTGCCAAAAACAGCCACTTTATGGTGGAGAACACCACAAGATTTTGATGAAAATGGTCATCTTAAAGTTGATATTTCTGATCTATCAAAACTCACACCAAGACTTAAAATCCTTAGAGAAATGGAGAGATTAGCTTTTATTTCTACTGAAGGTCTTGAAGATCTTAGACACAAACTTATTACTTACAGGTAATTATTACTACTACTACTTGGTTTTCTATTCGGTGTTCGATATTCATTTTGAAAATCAACTTTTTTTAACTGAATAGTCATGATTATTGTGAGAAACTCTATTTTTATTCCACGATGATATTCAGGAGTTTGATTTCTGAGATAGTCAAGTCAGCTTATTAATGGTTATTATTGTTGTTTCAGTATTTTTGGGAAGAAAGTGACTTTCTTTCGAATTTCTAATGAAATTGAATATAAATGTTATTACAGGGCAGGGGATTTTTGGTTACCAGTAGGAGGGGTAAAGAAGGAAGATATGGAAATAGCACCAGTGATCACAATTGTACTTGTTGGATTATGTGCTTCTGGAAAAAGTTCACTTGTTAATTACATGTATAGTGTTCTTGGTAGATCTGGTCTCATCCCTTTTGCTCAAACATCAAGTATGTTCACTCATTATTCTCTTATCTATTACCATTTCTGTTAGTTACGCGTTCACGTGAATTCAATAACTTTTGATCAAGACTTTGAAATAGATATTAGAGAGGGGAAAAAAGATTAGAAATACTCCTGAACTATTCAAAATTGGTCAAATTTACCCCACCTTATGTTTTTGGCTCAAAAATATCCTTCGTTTTAATTGTTGTTCCGAAACAAGGGAAAACGAACCTATTTTGTCTATTTCGAATAGTTTAGGGGTAACTAAATTAACACTTTAGGTTTATTGGCATTAATTCAGATTGGTTGGGTAGGTGGAGGGGGGGGGGGGGGTTACCACATTTAAACACAAGTGTGAAGATGGTCCATTAATTTGCTGTCAAGGAGGGTAGAGGTGTTGGCTAATTTAATAAATGTATACATCATTTGGTTGTGTTGTGAAAAATTTATGAACTTCACCACTAGAGCAACTTGCTTTGGAGGGCCCACTGAGTAATGTCTCGAGTTTGAGTCCTGAAAATGAAAGGAACTCGTGTATTGAACGTTTCTTTCTTTAAGTTTATTAGGCTCTATGATATACGAATTCGTATTACTTAATCGAGCTAAGTGAGTTTTAGATACCAAATGATTTCAGGCTCAATAGTCTCAATTATCATATTAGCTAAACTCATATGTATGCGTGTTTCAAAAAAATATAAAACAAGATTGGTAGATAATAATGTAGTGCCGGTATTCTTTTATATGCTAACTTTAAATTCTGAATATGTCTCTGATTATCGACCCTTTGACACTTTGTTGAATCTTGTTATATAGGTGGGAACTCACACTATACAACCATGTTCTTGGAAGAACACAATGTGTTGAGATCAATGAGAAGTGGATTTTGTGTGTATGATACAAGGGGATTAGAAACTAATGATATGATTGAGGGATTAGATGAAGTTTCTACATGGATGACACGTGGCGTTCGACATAATCAACCTTGTTTTCGACATGATGATTATAATAATAATAATAAGATTACGAATAAAAGGTACACTAAGAGGAATGTTGATTGTGCAATAATTGTGGCTGATTTATCAGAGATTAACAAAGCTTTTATCTCTGGAGATTTGAAGGATGTAGTGGCCTTGAAGAGCCTTTTCAACAATTCTTCTATAAGGAAATCAAGTAAGTTTTTTTTCAAACTTTGGTCGTACTTTTCAAAAATGTTGTCGGATGAATGTTGAATTAGATAGAGGTGTGCGACAACTATCTTTGAACCGTTTGAGCAACATTGCCAGAGATGCAAAAACTCTGCCTAAAACCTATGTTGTTCGAATTCTTCAAATATGTTGTTAAGTGTGTGCCGAATTCTTCAAATGGTGTTTACACACTAATTAGTGAAAGATTCTTGTATAGGACAGCTAGGAATCGCAACGATAAAATATGATGTTTCAGAATTGTTTACAGAATAAACAAATGTATGTCTACACATGTAGTGTGTACACTTGTGTGCCTTGTTGGTTGAATCTGAATCTGCTCTATAGTTATTTATAACCTATTGTTTTTGTTGTTTTCCAATTAGATGAGAATCCATTGCTAATATTGACACACGGTGACACGATTAGCGCGGAGGAGAGGATCAATAGCCGGCTGAAAATATGTGAATTTCTAGGTATACCGGAGACGACAGGGGTCTACGATGTAGCGTGTTTGACTGAACAGGGAATATTACCAGAAGAATCAGATCCAATAACAGCATTTGCCCTAACTGAAGCTGTGTATAGATCACTAATGCAATCTGATAGAAATCATCAGCCAAAGAAGAAATTGAAGGATTGGATTGTGCTATTTTTGACATGGATCTTGTGTTGCATTGGTGCCTTTTTTTGCAATTCTTGCAAATTTCTTCTCAAAATGTAGTCAACCTCACAACAAAAAACTAAAGTATTAGAAGTATACTGCACGGTAAGTCTGCGTACAATAGACCTTTTGTGGCTCGACAACCCTTTTCTGGACTCCGCACATAGCAGGAGCTTAGTGCAATGAACCGTCTTTTCACTCTCTATTTAGGTTCATGAGTGTCAGAGTTACATGTATCGGAAGGAGTTCAATTGAATCTCCTTTGTTGTTATGTTGTGTGTGCAATAGGGTCTGTTTGAAATTTTTAGGTTGCATGTTCAAATTTCATGTGGCATTTTTGCATTTTTTTATTCCGACCCTTAGAATTTATGGCTCTGTCACTTGATTAAATTTGTTTGAGGGGATCTCCCTTTTTTTTTTTTTTTTTTGTTGTAATTTTTTGGGGCTTGTTGATATGTTGTATTTAGGTGTGTTGGTTGAATTAAATTTAATGTCTAGCTAACAAAAAGTTGTGATAAGGTTTCTATGAATGGTTTTGAGTAGCTCAACGTGGTAGGGTTTTTGTGTTATTATTATTATTATAATATATAGTGCTAAATTGTTTATTTTACTTGTAGGATTTGTGTGCAATATTTTATCATAACAAGTTGTAGAAATGTGAGAATTTTCCATTTTTGTTTCCTTTGGTATTCTGCATTGTTTACTATATTAAAAATAGATATTTATTTTTATTTATTAAATTTAAAAAATTAATAGATATTTTATTATTTTATCTTCATCATTAAATATTACTCATTTTCCAACATTTAGATGAGTTAATAATTAGGAATGATACCATAAAATTACTATTTTATTTATTACTTCTTACCAGATGTGTCGAATCAAACATAGACGAAAGGAGTATTATAAAATACATGGAGGAATTAGCCACACTAATTACTCCTTAGCACTAATTGGCTACTAAAAATATATCGACTATCATATAGTTTTCAAAGTCATTGTCGTGTCATTATGATTTTCACAAGTTTCATTACAATTTTTTGAGTTTTACGTGTGAAATTTAGAACTTTACGAAAATAGCTTTAATTTCAATAACTTGGGTTTTAAACTCGCTATTTGTGAATTTTATCCATGTTAAGGTGTGTTGATTTCAATCATCTTTACGAGTGTACCCACAACCTTTGATGGCGTAAATTACTTCTTACTTGTAGGATATGTGTATAGTATTATTATTATTATTATTTTCGTCCTTAAAGGTTAGTAACAAATTGAATTGTTAAGTGATTTCCTATTTTTGTTTCTTTTGGTATCATCACGTGAAGAAAAGGACACATATAATTAAGCATATTTTACGACATTTGATCCATTTTTACCAACATTTCAATAGATTCTCAAATAACGATATCGATTACGAAAACAATTATAAGAATAAGAGGTATTATAGTTTGGTTTTAAGTTCCAATCACACACTTCTTGATACATCATCGATAAGGGAAACACAAAATTGTTTGACGTTATATATTAAATACAATAAACCCAATACACATTATTATATTCAATAAAAAGAATAAAGGAAGCTAAAATATCCAAAATATTTCAAGTTTATGTATCTTTATAACAATCTCAAGTGAATATACATAATAATATTTTAGAGTCAATTTTTTAAAAATATTTTGTGAATTTCTTAATATATATATCAGGATTCAAACAAAAATTACTGTGTCACATAGAAACAAATCTAGAATTTAAACTCTATTGATTCAACTTCTTAATATTTTTATTATTAAACCTATTAAAATTTTAGAATTATAAGTTCATACCTATGATCTATTGCAATCTTAGTAAATTTGTTCACATACATTTATACCCCATATTAAAAAACACAGAATTCAAATGAACTGATACTATAAAATTGCATTCGTTCTAGTGACAGTCACGTGAATCTATAGCTTGTATTACTGTTTATAATTGTGGCAAATTATTGTTATTGACACAACATATCAGTATAATCTCATATATAAGGTCTGAATAAGATGGTGTCAACATAGCCTTATTCCTATCTTGCGATGATAATTTCAATTTACCCTCGACTTGAACACAACACATACCAAAAACCAAATATATATATACATAAAAATTAAAGCGGCAAAAATGAAATTGTCTCAAAAATACAAAAACCAAATTTTAATGGCGGCACTTTCAGTTATAATCTCATATATTTTGGCGGGTAAAAAAAGTTGTCAAAGAAGGACATTTTCGTCTTTTCACACTCCCGCGCACCTAGGGTTTTTTTCGTATACAACTCCCTTATAAACCACAGATTCCTTTTTTTTTTTCCGCCACTTTCACTCTTCTTCTCTTATCTATACACTAAGCTCGAATTTCTTCTTCGTTTTTGAGTTGTGGGATTTTAATTGTTGTTCTCTCTACTTGATAGAGCTCAAAAATCCACTGTGATTGAGCTTTTTTTGGGTATTTTTGGTGGTTTATTGAGTAATTGCTGGTGGAGTTTACATTCAGTTAAGATTCTTCTGAAAAGGTGATCGAAAATGGTGGATCTAAGTGATAAAGTAAGTGATCGTTAGTTACCCTTTTCTTATTAGGTCTAAATCAAGTTTGATTTGGGTCATTTTAGCCGATTCGTTAAATGGGTGTTTGCGTAATTGTTGGTTGAGTTTACTCAGTGTGATCATTCAGTCGAGGTCGAAAATGAAGAGTTATTCAGCTTGTTTTTGTGTCTTTTTAGTGGTTTTCTGTTGTGTGATCATTTAGATGAGATTGTTCTGAAAAGACGATAAAAATGGTGGATCTAAGTGATCACTAGTTGCCCTTTTCTTATTAGGTTTAAATCATGTGTCATTCTGCTTGGTTTGAGTCGTCGTTTATTTTAGTTAAAAATCAAGTGTGATTGAGCTTGTTTTGGGTCATTTTAGCTTTTCCATTTAGTGGGTCTTGTGAAGTTTACTCATTCAGTTGGGATTCTTCTGATTAGGTGATTGATCCAAAGTGGTGGATCTAAGTGATAAATCACTAGCTTAACCTCTTGTTATTAGGTCTAAATCAAGTGTGATTGAGCTTGTTTTGGGTTTTTTCAGCTTGTTTTCTGTAATGGGTCTTGTGTAACTGGTGGGGAAATTTTCTCAATTGTAATCATTCAGTTGGTTAGCTACATTGTTCTTGTTGCTTAGTTTACAGTTTCTTTTAGTAGGGGAGTTTCTGTGAAGTTTATTAGTGTTTGATTTGAATTGTTTCTTGTGTTGCAGCAGGGTTTAGGATCTGAAGAAATGAGTAGTGGAGTTACTTCACCGGAAACTAGCCAAAGTAATGTTAAGACTTGTGCTGATTGTGGTACCACAAAAACACCTCTTTGGAGAGGTGGACCTGCTGGTCCCAAGGTTAGTACTACCGTCTTATTTACGACTTCAAGTTGAACATTGATCTATTTTTTTTATTAAAGAAGAATAAATCATGTTATAGAATTACAAGTTCGTATAAGTTGTACAATATCTGAGAGATAGTGGAATAGTATATGTTGGTTCAAATTGGATTGAACACCATAGAATAACAACATACGCGGTGTAGTCTCACAAAATATCTGAAAGAATTGCATGATAATATAGTCAAAAGTACATTGTTTGTTTGACACATGGTTTAAGAAAGAAAGATTGTTGTGTTGTATGATAATGAGTTGTTTATATCTATTATTCATTGCAATTTGAGTGTAATTTTACTCAAATTCATGCTTCATATCTAAAGTATTGGGTTTAGATGATCATGAAATTGGTGCTGCAATGTTGCATATGCCTCTTTAAACATGTCGTGATGTTTCTTGGTTGTAATAACACACCATTAGAAGTTAAATATGATGTTTAGAGTTCAAGAGTTTTCAAATCTAGAAAGGTCTCATTTTCCTTGGAACAGATTAGAATGATAATGTGTTGCATGAAACGGGAAGGTGGAGTAATCGTTTAATATAAAATGAACACCATCTCATTTTAGTTTTCGATTTCTTGATGCTCAAATCTGATGATTATGATCATTGTGAATGCAGTCACTATGCAATGCTTGTGGGATCAAAAGTAGGAAAAAGAGGAGAGCCTTTCTGGGGTTGAACAACGAAGAGAAGAAATCAAAGAAATCAGTGGCACTTGGACATAAAAACAATGAAGCACAGCACCATTTGAACCAAAGTTGTAGCAGCAGCAGCAACAGTGAAGATAGTAAAAGCAGTAACTTTGTGAAGAACATTGTTTCTTCTTCGTTGAAAAAGAAATTACTTCCTTTTGGTAAAGAAGAAGTCATTATGCAGAGACCAAGATCAAGATCTACTCAGAAGAGAAAGCTCGGAGAAGTAGAACAAGCAGCATTCTTGTTGATGGCTCTTTCTTGTGGCTCTTTTTACACTCAAGGAAGGATGAAAATGGACAAGGAAAGAAAGAATGAGAAATGTTGTACTCTTGGCAGTAAAAGTAGTAGTACTTTGTGGGTTGGTTGAATGGTGGGTATTTGTTTCAGCTTGGAGAAGTCCAGCTTGATTTGAGAAGTGCTAATTCGATTTGGAAGACTATGAGTAGATAGAAGTTGAGAGCTCTATGTTTTCATTTCATTAATTTTATACTACTATTTTAGTTCATTGATGAAATTATTTTCTAATCATGAGTTGATTGATGAAGTTATGTCTTAATGTTCATTGCATGACAACAACCTTTATATGTTTTAATCAAAACAAAAAGTAAAATAAATAGTTTTCCTAAGTATTGCCTATACGTATATTACCCCTGCCTAGACGTCATTTTTATTCTCAATTCTCAAAATTGGGATATTTAAAAAATGGCTTTTTTATCCCTTTCGTTTTGTGATTAGGACATTGTCTTTCATGAGAAAGTGCTTTATTTTTATGTATACATATATATAGTAGAATTTGCAGTATTTGAGCTAAGAATCTTTTGGAAACAACCCCCTCACGAGTGATTGGCAAGATTTGTGCAAATTTCTACCTTCTCCCAATCCCACTTGTGAAATTTCAACTTCTTCAGCTTAGTTTGCGTGTTTACTTCTTCATATTTTGGCCACCTTAATGAAAAACATGGATCGGCCACTAGTTTGTGCTGCAATGTTGATGGCATATCCTTATGCAAGCACTAGTGACTTCTTACACAGCTCATACACGTGACTTATAGGTCATAGAAAGACAACTTTACCATTGTTTCGAGGCTCCTCTTCACATATGGCAGCAACAACACATAAAAGAGTAGTAAATAGATCAAAACATATTTTTAGTTTTATTAACTGAATAAGGTTGAAAGCCAAGCTTTAGAAAGAAAATATACCTTTCAAATCAACAACTCATATAAAGAAGAAAGTAAGCAAAGGATCAGCTAAATGAGCAACTAAAAGAATCTGCAGTTTATGGCAATCCAAATTTAGTCTGTACATCAAGATCAACTCCAGAAAGTGAAATAGAAGAAATAAAACTGGGTTATTGCAGTTAGTAAATAACTCGAACGTTTTAAGAGAATCCTTACGCCAAACGCGTAGCATCCCACAAACAGAACATCTCCACAAAATAACTTCTAGGATGTGCAAATTGTCCTAAATTTCAACTAGCTATATAGAAGTCAAAACTTTGCATGTACGCCTTTGCGATACCATGCAGAAGTATCATACACAAATTACCCTTTTTTCTTCATGAATGCTGTCTAATTCCACAATAATCAAGAATCAGACCGGAAGATGCAGCCAGACCAGAATCCAACATCAAGAATTGAATGACGAGCTGAAACTCCACCGTTTTTGTTCACAGAAGTCAATTTTCAGCTGTAAAGACAACTATGTACACTAGTGACTCAGAATTATATGTTACAAAGCGTAAGCTTACAGCAACTACGCTCTTTTCGCGTCTTACACAGGAAGATTGTCCAATGGTGAATATCCATCAAAGCCAAATTCAGTTTCAACTTGTCCGACACTTTCTTGCTGTTGGAAATTCATAAAATGCAAATTAGCAAATAAATAGAATGGCATCAGTAAAGTTAAGATTCTGAAGCAAGCTACACTAAGGATAAGAACACAGACTTAACCTGCTTCAGAAGGGCACTCATGAGATCATCCTGTCCAAATTGCTCCGGAAAAAATGTATTTTGATAGCTCGTATCAGGAAGTTGTTCAGCTTTAACAGGAAGCAAATTTCCGCCAGAAAATAGGTTAAGTTGCGGTCCACCCATAGGAGAATTTCCATTTAGTCCATTCTTCTTCATTGAAGAAATACCTTGTTGAACTAACATGGACGGTGAGACATCTAGAGTTCCTGGTATACTTGAATGATCAGAGGCACCGAAGTTTGATCCGATATTCGGTAAACCCCAATCCGGCGTTTTTTGCTGATGCAACTCTTCAAATATATCGTAACCAGGAGGGAATCCTCTAGATCCTTTAATATCAGAGTTAACTTCTTCCTGAAGCAATCTTTTAGATGTCAGAGTTGACATTCCTGAATTACTACTCACAAGAGGAAAACTGTTGTTTTGCAACTCTGTAGTTTGATTCAGCGAAAAATCTACCATTGAAGATGTTTGGGAGACTGGATTGTATATTGGCCCTCGTACGTTGTCAACAATGCTATTTCGTGATAAGACTGCAGCAGGTTGTGACATGGACAATGGCGGCCGTGAAACTTGACCATTATTGGTTTCATTTAGCATTTGAGCCCTAGACGATTGTTGTTGTTGTTGAGACATATGCATTAGTAGAGCGTTGTTTTGTTGCATTCTAGCATTCCCTTGCATATTCATAGCCACAAAGGACTGTGAGGACTGGTGCAAATCAGCCAGCTGCTTCGGTTCCATGGTTGTTGGGATCCCATGAAGCAAGTTAATTTGCTTCTTGCTATTATTTAATTGTTGTTGTCCCTCGGAAAATCTCAACTTGGGATTTTCAAAGCTGAAAAGGTTTCTTTGATCTACTAGAGGCATAGATATTGCAGATTTTGTCGCAGACCTACCTAGTGCAGCCGCCTGGAGGGTAGCAAGACTTTGTGCGGGCAGTTGACCCGTGGCAGCTAAAGCTTGAAGCTCTAGCCCATTGAAAGAAGTCATCGTCCCATATGCTGCTTCCGGGTGTCCCATGAATGAGTTATTCAGTCCATTCTGATGCTGTGATACACCACTCAACCTCCTTAGGTACAGCCGATATTTCTGCAGTACATGATTACGACCAATAAGCACTTTACTAAGAAACTAAAGAAATATTATCAACTACATGTTGCAAAACAAACATAAAGTCTTCCACTAATCAACTAATTGTGCATGAAACCATATATTCTTGAAAACGGAAGAAGTAAAGTTGCTCAAGACCTGTAGGTGGCTAGCAACATTTTCTCTGGTTAGCCCAGGAACATTCATCAGCTCAAGAATTTTCTTGGGAACAGCCTCTGAAATCAAAGCCAGAATTAGCAACGAAGAATATACGAGTAAGTATCTAGAATATAGGCAAACATTCTTTTCTTATTCAGCAGAACCCATTTCTAAGGTAATAGACACTTCAATACAGTTAGACTAAGCAATTTGGATGAAGAAAAGTTGTATATGTTGAACTAAACCTCGCGCAAAAATTTAGAGAACTATCAAATATTAAGGACACCCGAGAGAAAGAGATGAACGTTATTCTTGTGATACCAACTACCGATATCACCAAGTCAAAATCATATCCAGGAATTATAGAATCTTGAACATTTTATTTTATCAGCGATGGTTGAGAGTAAAAAGAAACTGCAATAAAACTAGGGTTCAAATCCCAATAAAGACAAAAAAAACCACTAGGTGAATCTTCCCATGTACCTAAACCTTGGTGAGCAGAGTAACACAGTAATTGTGCTAGTGGGAGGTAGCAGGTATGCAGTGGAATGGTCGAGGTGCGCACAAGTTGGCCTGGACACATTTTGGATAAAGAGCGGTCACAGATTTTGAACTAAACCACACACTAAGGACATTGGAGTGTGAAGTGAATGATATTATTGTAATACCCGCTACCAATGTCTTCATACACCACTTATAATTAAGTGGTCAACAAGAATCAAGTACTCCTTCCCATTATGAAAGAGTGAGGACGGGAGCATGGATGTCAAACATAAATTATGTCCCCTTTGATTAACACTAAATATGTGTACGCGATGACAATGTTAGGAACTTTTGACTAAGCAAAGGTAATTTGACTAGTTCATGTACCTCACGGTTTCCACTTTTCTCCCACAATCCCAATTTTGCCTGCCCAATGTTTTAATTGATCCTGTCCTTACAAAAAAGTTTTCAATCTTCAATCTAACTACTGGAAATAATAGTAATCCCTGTCCTTAAACATATGTGTGCTTTATTGTTATTAAAGTAATCTGTTCAAAGTGCCCCTTCTTTGTCTCTACAAGGGTTCAAGATGACCAACTAAAAGGCGTGAACAAAGATAGCATGTTAACAACGTAATGGTGTCAATTTAACCTCCACCCTTCTGGAGAGGGAGCGAAATGGACAAAGATTCATAAATTCATGGTAACATCCCAAGAAACATGGAAAAATCATGTAAATATGGTACAAGTCCCAGTATGAAGAATAAGGAAAAAATAACACATCTGTCAGGTCCCCTTGAAGCTAGGCAAACCCCAGGTTCAGCGTTTTACGTTGATTAGGGAGTGCATTAATGTAGACAACAAGGCATTAAGGCATATACTGTCTTTAAAAGGGCAGCACTAGACGATAAATATAGTTGATAAAGTGCTATTAACTGTTAAAAACAATAAATATCTTTTTTTTTTTTGGTAATTAGCAGTAGGGAATCAGAAATTAGAATAAAACAACTGGTCTAAAAGCTAAACAACTTGAAACAAATTATAGATCTTATGAATAGACTTGAATGAAACCAGGAATTCAGTGATGGAGCTAGTTGCGTTGATGAGGAATCACATGAATGGAATGATGTCTCTGACTCAAAAACATCCTCTTCCCCTCCCAACGCCAAAAATCCAAAAAAGGAAAGAAAAGAAAAGAAGGAACTTTTTTTTTCTGAAATTGGTGATGTAAGAAAGGACGGAACATTAGCAAAATAGTACTACTTTCCTTTTAAAGTCCGTTTAAAAAAGAATGTCTCTTTCTTCTTTTGGCAGCTATAGGATTTTGCCATGAGTTCTTCACCTCCCTTATTTCTTTGACATGCTTTTCCTTGAGCCGAGGGTCTAACAGAAATAACCTTTCTACCTTCCAAGGTAAGGGTAAGGTCTGCATACACTCTACCCTTCCCAAACCCCACTTTGTGGGATGACACTGGTATGTTGTTTAATTTCAACTTTCCACATGGCTTGTTTAAAACCACAAAATAAAAGGACATTTTGGTACACTAGTTTACGACCACAAGATTAAAAAATCTTCTTTTCTTTTTCAAATTACACGTCAAGTCAAACCAAACAAACAAATTAAAATGGAGGGAGTATATCAAGTTTGGTTACACCACAAGGTTAGCTGAGCTGGGAAGAACTCCTTTTTCAGGTTTAAAGATCATAAATAGGCATATACTCCCCTGGACCTGAAATACCCCAAGTTCCGAGCAATATGGAACCACAGCAACATAGAAATATTAAGGTAAAGAAATAGCCAAGAGATGCATACTGTCAATTCCAAGTTGGTTGACAGCTTGTACAAACTGTTGATGAAGCTCCACCGACCAAACTACGCGTGGCTTCTTTGATGTAGATAAATCATCCCTTTCTTCAGTTTCATCTTCTTCCTCCTTTCTTCTCTTTGAGCTTTTCCAGTTCCCTTCATTAGCTGAAGATGAATAATCAACATCTTCTGGAGGTTTCTGTTGTTGATCTCCATCTTCCACGCTTGTTGATTGATCAAAATCTTTGTCCTTCAACTCGTGCTTCTTTTTACGAATCACATGTTGCCAAATGTTCTTCAAAGCCTCAATACGCACCGGTTTGATCAGATAATCACATGCTCCATGAGTAACACCTTTCATAACAACATCCTTACTGTCATCCGCAGACATCACTAGCCAATGACAAATCCCAAATCAGATACCATCAATTAGTACGCTATCAGCATTCAGCAGTTACAAAACTTGAAAAATAAAATAATACAGTTTTTACTAAATGAAACGGGATACTCACTTATAACAGGGAGGTCCATTTCCAGACCAACATGCTCAAGAAGTTTGAAACCATCCATGTCTGGCATGTGCACATCACTTATAACAATGTCAAATCCATTTCTGTTTTCCCGGAGCATTGATAATGCATGCTCCGCTCGATTAGACTTGGTGACTGGAAGAATCACAAAATTAGAATGAATTGTGAGCGGAAACAATGAATAGTCAATAACAACAAACAACAACAACAAGTTCTCAAAAGCCTAAAACATTCTATTTCAGACCAAGGTCATAAATGAAAGACTTCACTTGACCCTAAGGGGTCGTTTGGTATGGGCGATGTTGATAGACAAAGTTATCCCATGGGATTAGTTATCCCAACATATATATAGGACTAACTCCTCCCATCATTATTAGTATATAATCCCGGAACTAGCTAATACCCCTAACCAACATTTTATCTCGGGATTATTATCCCTCGTACCAAATGACCCCTAAAAGTTAATTGAGGAAGTTTAGGGTTCCTGATAAACATGTAAATAGGAGATCCAACAACAAATTTTCTTTCTTCATGAAATTTCCCAACCTATCATTTCCAAATCTCGTGTAAATCAAATCTTATATCAATCATACTCTTTATTGATTTATCCAATCCTTCAAATCCTTAATCCTACACGCCTCTGAACTCCAAAGCAACCAACCTAATTAAGCACTACAACACGTCCTCTATCCTCTCCAAAACTCAAATTCAACATAAAACAAGAAAAAAGAACAAAGATTTTAATAAACTAAGGAGCACCATGAGAAAGTTTATACGAGATCCAAAAAGAGATCATCTTTTAATCATGAATTCCCAACTTATCATTTCCAAATCTCATGAAAATCAAATCCTACACATCAATCATACTCTATATTGGTTTATCCTATCCTTCAAATCCAAAGAGACCAACCAAATTAAGTAAAAAAACATATACACTATCCTCTCCACAAGCTCAAATTCAGCATAAAAAACAAAAAGTACTTTAATAAACTAAGGAGCAGCAAGAGAAGGTCAATAGGAGATCCAAAAAGAAATCTTCTTTCACCATGTTCCAAACCTATCATTTCCAAATCTCATGAAAATCAAACTCTATACATTAATCATACAGTCAATTGGTTTATCCGATCCTTCAAATCCAAAGAAACTAACCAAATTAAGTTCTAAAAAAGTGCATCCACTATCCTCTCCACAAGTTCAAAAATCAACATAAAACAAGAAAAGAAGAACAAAGACTTGAACTTTAATAAACTAAGGAGCACCAAGAAGAACTCTTCTTTCACCATGAATTCAAAACCTATCATTTCCAAACCTCATGAAAATCAAATCCTATACATCAATTATATTCTATGTTGGTTCATCCTATCATTCAAATCCAAAGAAACCAACTAAATTAAGTAAAAAACACATCCACTATCCTCTCCACAAGCTCAAATTCAACATCAAACGATGAAAAGAACAACAAAGACTCGAACTTCAATAAACTAAGGAGCAGAAAGAGAAGGTCAATAGGAGAACCAAAAAGAACTCTTCTTTCAATCATGAATTCCCAACATATCATTTCCAAATCTCATGAAAATCAAATCTTATACATCAATCATACTCTCTATTAGTTAATCCTATCATTCAAATCCAAAGAAACCAACTAAATTAACTAAAAAAACACATCCACTAAGGAGTAGAAAGACTTCAACTTTAATAAACTAAGAAGCAGAAAGAGAAGTTTCCATATGAGATCCAAAAAGAACTCTTCTTTCCATCATGAATTCCTAACTTACCATTTCCAAATCTCATGAAAATCAAATTCTACACATCAATCATACTCAAAACCAACCAAATTAAGTTAAAAAAAACACATCCACTATCCTCTCCACAAGCTCAAACTCAACATAAAAAAGCCAAAAAAACATCAAAGACTTGAGCTTTACTAACTAACAAGCACCAATAAAAAGGTCAACTCTTGAAAAAACATCTAAAGTACCATTCTTGATTTACAAAACACATAATTTACACATCAAAAAAGATGAAATTTTTAGTACCTTCATAGTGACAATTCCTAAGCATCTTCTCCAAGATCATTAAACAAGTAGGATCATCATCTACAACAAGCACTCTTAAACCTGCCGGAAACTGGTCGGAAACTTTATCACTACCACCGGATTTCCAAGAAACACTACAACTAGCACCAGACATGGTTTTCACCACTGACCCAACACCAAGATTCATACTTTCTTCAAATTTTTGAAATTTTTTCAACAAATTTACATAAAAATAAGTAAAAAATATTGGAAAAAAAAAAATACCCCAAAACAAGAACAAAAGTATCTTAAAAGTTAGTAGTACATATCTTAATTGGTACATCCATAAGGAATCATATCAGTACCTTATTGAAAGAAAATTTCAAGAGAGAGACAAGGAGAATTTTATAAAAAAATTAAATAAATTTAAAAAATCTTTTTTTTAATTTTTTTTTGGCTTTAAGAGGAAGAGAAGAACAAAAAGAGGAAACAAGGGGATGAGAATTACAATTTATATATATATATATATATATATATTGGTACGAAGAACATGGGTGTTTGTGCTTGGAGTTGTCAAACTTTTTTTTTTTTTTTGTTTATCTTGGTTACATTATTAAAAATAAAAATAATTAAATAATTATTAGTATTACCAATTTTATATTTTTTTTAAAATGAATAATTTTTTTTATAGTAATAAATTATTGTGGGGTCTTTTCCATTGAGTGTGGATCCAGCTCATATATGAGCTTAAATAACCCCACACCAGCTAAAATTATTTTTTGTATTTTTTAAATCATAATGGAGTAATAATTTTATTATTGTTTGTGGGAATTTTATTTTTTTTAATAGTAGACCATTATCTAAAAAATAAATCTAGCTGTAACTTTAGGTTCTATTAGACTATTACCATGTTAGGATATACCTCGTAAAATTAATTAAAGTGTATGCTTTTAACTTATGGTTTATGTGAATTTAATAGTTTTTGTTCAAATTTTATATTTATATGAACTTAATTATTAGTATAAGTTAATTTGAAATTATTGAAGAAATTCATAAAGGTTAAATTTTGAATTTGATGTTGTAAAAGTGTTTTACTATAGCCAAAAAATCATATTTTTATTTGAAGGAAAACATAGTGTCAAAGTGAATTAATATTTAAGTTGATAGAGTAAATTTTGTTGTATTATTTAAGTCAATTAATAAATAAGGAGGTTGTTATTTTTATTAGGAAAAAAAATGAAATAAGAACTTCCAAAAATGCACTTTATTTGCAAATTCTTTCTTTAGTTCATCTAATTATACTCTATTTTTTCCTAAATAAGTTTTTTTCTTTATAGTTGTTAAGAGTAAGTTGAATTAGTTATTAGGTTTAAATTATTGTTAAGCACTTGATTGCATCTTGATCTCATTAATTACTCAGCAACATGTCTCTAAGTCAAACTTGTAGGTTGGTTCTTATTACAACTTATTTTTTCCAAATTATTAACCAATAAATAAATAAATTAAACAACTTTAATCAATAATATAAAGATTTTGTAACGTGGTTCATTTGTAACAAACAATTAATCATTCTAGAAATAATTATTTTGAATATTTCATAGCATAAACTCTTGTAATATCGCAGGTTGTGCAAAGTGGTTAAAATTTCTTCTGTCTAAATAGCAAAATTATATTTAGAGTGTCGACTTCAGAAATAAGTCATGCAATGTGTGAATTCAAATTTAATCGGACTTCAATATCCATATTGAATATCAAATGAGTTTTTATTTTATTTTGCATGTTGTGACATCTCCTCAAACTTCTTTATGATTTTAATTAATACCTTCATGGTCCATAACTCTATATTATATATGCAAAACAATAATAAAATAAGGATAGTAACAGGATAAATAAGGAAATTAATTAAAACTATGGTCTACAATGATATTGAATTGATTTTTTATTTTTTTTATCCTAATAAAATAATTTATTAGCTGTCTCTGATTTGACAAATCCATTTTGATTGTTCATCTGATTCTAATAGCAAAATCACAGCTAATTAATACCACATAAACAATTGTTAATTTTATTTACATATTAATTTAGCAACTGTTGATAACTAACTTCTTTTCGTTTTTATTTTACGAATAAAATAGTTAATTAACATTAATAAAATAATAGCCCATAAAAAAAGTTGAAACCAACTTCGTTTTATGATGTCACTTGATGAATAGTTCTAGTGTTATTACTTCATCGATTTTAATTTGGTGGTCTAATTTTGACTTAATACAAAAATTTAAACAGTAAAAAAAATTTTAAAACTTATAATCTTAAATAAAGAAACGTAGAACCAAAATGTCTATAATTGTGTGGTCTTAAATATACCATATGAAAACTTAAAATTAAAAATACTAAGTAAAGCAATAGAAAATGCTTTCTTACAATGGACTCTAAAAAAGACTAATAAATTGAAAAGGATGGATTACTTCATTATTGAAGATATATATATTACTTCCCAAACAAGAAGATCTATACAAAAAATAACAACTTATCTAGTAAAATTCCGCAAATAAAGTATGAAAATATAGAGTGTATACAAAATTATTTCTACAACTTATGTAGATAGAAAAGTTGCTTTCAGAAAATCACCGACGTAAATAATGCATACAAAAGAACATAGTGATAAGAAAGATAAAACAAATATTGAAGAAAATATTAAAAAATCATAAAACCAATAAAATAATGTGATGATCAAAGCATAAAAATAACCCATCAATAATCACGATAAGAAATTTTAAGTTGTATTTAAAAAATTTATGATCGGAAAAAAAAAATCATTGCCAAACAGAAGACCAACAGTATATTCTCAAACTAATCTTTTCTCAATTCCAATGAGTAAAGTAAAAAACATAACTATAAAAGAATTAATTCCCATAAAATACCCAAAAAAGCCTGTTTTCATAGACTTCCACGTCAGCATAGTTCAGTTAAAACTATAATGAGGTAAAAAAAAGAAATGTTTTTTTTTCACTTTTAATTTTAATTTATTACACTTCTTCTCATCTTTTAATAAAATTCACTTTAACAAATTTTAATTAATTAGTGAAGTCATAAAGGAGTCTGAGGGCTTAGCTTTTTATGAATGTTTATATGCTTTTAAGGACAAAACAAATATGTGTGGCAGTGAGCCTTCACGCCAAAATTAAAAAAATATATTGATATGTTTTTAAAAAAATTAGGGATAAGGGTCTAAAAAATACCCCAACTTTGGTCGAATTTGCTGTTGCGATACTAAACTTTCATGATGACCTATTACCTCCCTAGACTATTTAATACCGTATTTTTTACCCCTTGAACTATTTAATAGTGTATTTTAAAGGTATATATGTGCCCACGTGGTCACATTACTATTTATAATTTTACATTATTTTTTATATCCACGTGGGCAAATATATATGTTTAAAATACGGTATTAAATAGTCTAGGGAGGTAATAGGTCCTCATGAAAGTTTAGTATCACAACAGCAAATTCGACCAAAATTGAGATATTTTTCAGATCCTTATCCCAAAAATTTACATTCGAAATTTACCTATCCAATTAATTTAAATTTGTGTTGAATATGTCCATTAAAGGGTTACTACTCTTTTTATCAAAAAGGTTATTGAACATCTCATTACACCTCTTGATGGTATACCGTATTTTACACATCTAATTAACATCTTGTGTGGATAGTTATTACGTATCGTTTCATAATGTCTTATATTACATTGTTTTGATGAATATAATTTTTGGATAGATAATATTGTCTTTAGTCGATATATAAAGTTACACACCAATAATATGAAAAGTAAAGCCTACATTATTATATATATATATATATAAAGTAGGATACAAATAAAATTATTATTAAGAAAAAAAATAGTATAAAATATAAAATAAAATTAGTAAATAAATAGTAGCAAAATGAGAAAAAATAAAATAACGATGCGACCACATTATATCATTTATTGCATAAACTGAGACGTATCATCTTTACATAACAATAAATCTAATAATACAATGCAATAAAAATTTAAATAACAATATTTAAAGTAATAATACGATATGCAATATACTATATGTAACAAATATCCAACCAAGTTATAATTAATGTCACATATTAATAATTGAAAAGATTGAGAAACTACATATATTATAAGAAAACTCCATTCAAATAAGTTTAAAAGGACACAAACACCAAAATTACACCAAAAGCTTTTTGGATAGTGGAGAAATTGCATATGCGTGCGTTTGTCACCTATCACAACACAAATGCTAAAAAAAGCTATATAATATATGACATTGACTATTCTTGATTTATTTCATCAAGTTTTTCGAACACTAAATAAGAAGTAAATTACAGAATATAAGAATTATTGTAAAAAAATTTAGAAACTCGAGTCGCAATATCTAGGTTATAACTATATAACTGAAGAGACTTACTCGGGTACATTTCAGTTCTACGATTAATCAAATCGATTATAATTATTTTTTTAAGACCATACCCCTTCCTAGCCTAGAAAGTAAATTCACAATTTCACACTTTGATAAGCTATTAAAATTAAAAATAAGAAATGCAAACGTAAAATTACAAACCAAAAAAGAGATTAGTGTTATAGAACTAAACACGAAGGAAAGTCTCTGAAATTATTCCGAGATCAAATTAACATTCTAAAATTTTATGATCAATCAAACACAAAATAAGAATGGACACGTGGTGGTGCGGTAAATGGTAAGTTAATGGGCCCACACCAATTGTAAGGATTCAAAACATAGCCGAAATTATAACAGGGCCAAGTGACCCAAGAGTACTTTGAGATGGGCCCATTTGTAGGCCCACTATACTAGCATCTCCATCATTATACTCTAGACTATAGAGCATTGACTAATCAACCAAGTAGACGGGTCTCGAATTCAAACTCTGAATATAAAATCGTTTTTCAATAGAGCGCTTTAATGTCAAAGCAAGATTTTTTGTGCGAGTTCAAATTCAAGTTAGTCGAATCACAATGTAAGTATTGAATATCAGGTGAAAAATAAGAAAAAATAAGAAGTTACATTCACTTTCTCAATGTACCAAAACAAAATAAATACTCCTTTTATCCCTTATTATGCGAAACTGTTCGGAGTATAAGCATAGGCGGAGCTAGCATAGAGTTAGGGGGTTTATCTGAACCCTCTTCAGCGAAAAATATTATTATTTATACATGATTAGCATTTTTTTGGGAAAATTAGTAATCTAGTCAACATACCTAACATAATTAGTCAAAATAACTACACTTTAAAATATTTATTTAAAATGTCAAAATGTCAATACTTTACAAAATAATTGTATTCAAATATTATTATTTATTTTACCCTTTTTCCCCCCAAAACAGTCCATCATTGGACCAAATTCTAAACCAATAACAAATAAAAAAGGAAAAAAGGAAAAAAGAAAAAAAAACTACCGATTAATCTTCTTTCCCCATCATTCACGTTTCTTTTCCCCCCGTCATTCAACTTTTATATTTTCTCTTTCTTCAAATTTCTTTGCAGGTCAAGAAATACAAATTATG